CTCCATCTTGTGGTCAACTGCGAAAAATCAGAGTTTTTTCTGAAATCCGGCTAGAGATGGGTGGTGGGAGGCTTTCCCTCGGCTGAATTTCTCCCTCCGGCCGCTGAGGTGGGCAGGCTTGCCCCTGCATCTACCCTTGACCACATGGAATTTCCATATTCTCCTTGGATGAGGCACAGATACAGAAACACAATCTGGAAAAATACTGAAGATGCTAATGTATAAAGCCCTACCCCACAGTGGCTGTTCAGAGCAATTACAAGACGATTTTCCCTTTTTTTTTTTTTTTTCCCAAGCCCAACCACACAGCTACTGCATCTGTCAAATTAATTACAAACAAGAAATCAACCCTAAAGTGTAAACTGATTCTGAGTGCAGGGAAATTGCTAATCATAAATTGTCAATCAGTTTCAAGTAAAAGACCACGATGAAATACCTTATTGTGCCTGCCTCACTAGGCAACTGAGGTCAGTTTTAACAAGTCCCTTGGATGTCCTATTTTTTTATCCTGTTTTAAGAGGCTATAAGTGTTCTGGTTTGTAGAAATACAATCAGTGGTCAGACATATTCTTTTCTTGCCAGCAGCAGATATAAGAACCTAATTTAAAACTGTAAGTCTTTCTTTAAACAGTCTCAAGGATAATTAAGATAGAGAATAGGAAGATGTGACTCAGTATGCTACTGAGGACAACAGTAATTCAAGGACTAATTCAGGCCTTTTATTTCCCATCTTCTGGACAGCCCTTAGACATGGCAGTATAATCTAATGCAACTCCGTGCCATGCTTTCAACCTACCACACTTCTTTTTGCTGTTCCTCTTCAGAGTTACTATTGCACGTAACCTCCCTTATTATCAACACCAAACTCTGCTTTGCAAGCTAAGCTTCTTTCTTCAATATCTCTCTGTGACCAAGTGTTTTTAACAGGGAACTAAGCAGGAAATTTTCTCTTTAACGTGGTTTCATAGCGCAGGTGTTGGTTAGCTGTGTCTTAAATGAGATATTAGGAGCCATAGCATACGTCTTGCTAGTATCATGCTTATGTCAAGCTTTTCTCAGTTCAGTAAAATACACTTCAGTCTGTGCAAGTGAGTGACATGATCACATTGGTGCCCTTCTATCTCAGATCCGTGACTTTGTGTCTCTGCAAGCAGAGACCTGGATGCCCCACCGTATCCATGCCAATGTTGGAATAACAGCACAATGATGAAAATGTTGAAAATCTGCTTTGCCTGCCCAATAGTAACATTCTCCCTTCTGTAAAGCTAATGACAGGATTTGCTCCAACAGTGCCATTTTTTCAAGAGACTTTGAACCATCTCTTTCAGCTTGCTAGATGCCACATGCTACACGGGCTGGCTTTTGTGTTATGCTGTATTTTACTAACAGGCAGGGATTCATGGATTTTTGGTTTGTTTTCTTTTTTTTTTTTTTTTTTTAGAGGCGTGCAGCTGACAATCTGAGAAGACATCATCAATACCAGGTACAGACCCATGTTTATTTTTTGGGAAACTATTTTTCTATGACTCAAAATGGTCTTCATGAGGACAAAAAAGGAAGAATTTTGTGAGAAAGCAAGGAAAAAAAACCACCAAACCCACAAAATACATACTTATTTCATCGTCATCAAATGAACACAGTATTTTTGGTGTTTAAAAAAGAGCATTTGAGAAGTAAAGTTGTCTACTTTTAGGGTGCAAAAGGACATTTCCTAGAACAATGATACAGTCAGTAGTATTTTGCCAACTGTAATATGGATTGCCTTTAAAAAAGCAAACATGTAGTCCCACCTTCCTGCTGGGATTCATCAGCATCATTTGAGCAGCTCACAGACATGCTCCATCATAACCTGCTCTCCATCTCTCTGGCTCTGGTCCCCCATAGACAACTTCCTGTTCCTTAATAAACCCTCTGCCTGGATCCCCTGTAAGCTGTTCTTCTCCATCCTTCCTGCTTCAGCCTCTGAGCTTTTGAGACTGTTGTAGCACAAGGAATAGTTTTCAGATTTATTTTCAATTTTTGTTGTGTTAAAAAGACTGCAAGTTAAACAAGATGTGGGCTGTGCACTTGTACATTTGGTAATTAATGGGTTCTTGTGGGAAATGACTAGGTAAAGTAGGACTTTTCCAACGTGAAAGAGAGACAGGTGTGGGAAATACAACAGGGATCTATAAAACCATGGGGAAAGTGAACATAGAGCAGATGTTTACTATCTATACGCAAACTGAATACCAGACACGTACTAGGCTGCTTTAGTAAGACTGTAGGCAGCACTTTGAGGGAAGTGATTATTGTTCTTCAGCCCACACTTGCATGACTGTATCTGGAGCAGTGTGCCCTGTTTTAGGTCCCCCACTACAAGAGAGGTGTTAACAAATTGGAAGTAATCCAGCAAAGGATGACCAAGATTGTTAGAGGGCATAAAAGGATACTGACTGACAAAAAAGGGGAAGCTCCTATTTCAGCCTAGAGTAGGTTAAGGGGGATCTAATTGCTGTCTTCAGTAACACAGTGGATGGTTAGAGAGGAAACAGATTTTTCTTGGAGCTGCACAGCAAAAAGAACAGGAGTCAATGAACACAAGATACAGGAAGGGAAATTCTGTAAGGAAAATCATCATCACAGTGAAGGTAATAAAGAATTGGAAAAAGTTCCTCAGGGAGGCTTCAGCATCTTCACCTTTGGAGATATTCAGCACTTGACTGTACAGGGCTCTGAGCTGGATCAGACAGTCTCCAAGCATCTCTTCCAACTAAAATAATTTTAGGATTCTTAGAAATAGAAGGCAACAATGGAAACTATCAGAGAGCAGGTTAAAAATAATAATAAAAAAAAATCAAATCTTACTCCAGCTATACTGTGGAATTCATTGGCAGAGGATTTGTGGATGCAGAAAGTTTATACCAGTTCAAAACACATAGGAAAACCTGTCACAGCCCATTAAACATATTGTTATCATTTCTTATTCAGAAAGCCTCTGAACAGGAGGCTTGGGAAAACATAGCTGGCAATAACATTATAAAACTATGCTAGATTTAAACTCATCATGAGGCACGAACAACTAATCACTCATTGACTGCATGTTACTGGCATGAGACATACCTTTGGTCAAACCCACTACAGCCCTTCTCAGGATAATTAATATCAGCACTTTCCATTGAAAATCAGAAAAAAATTCAACCAAATGATCTAAGGTTTGACATTTTATGTCAGGTTCCTAAAGCACAAACAAGCCCAAGCAGGCCCAGTGAGTGTAGTTTCAGTAACTAATACCAAGAAAGCTAACACAATATTTTCTATTTTTAGGAAGTTATGAGAAATCTGGTTAAGAGATATGTTGCAGCAATGATAAGAGACGCCAAAACTGAGGAAGGACTGACAGAAGAAAATTTTAAGGTATGCATTTATTTATGTGTTTAGAGGTGTTTTAGTAAGGTAAGACTAGGAAGCATATTTCTCACACTCCTCGGTTGTTCAGTTAGCATATAACTTCCTTCCTACGTTACTGTCTGTGTCCTGATGGACCATACACAGACAGTACGTAGACTCCAGCAAGTCCCCTTCTTTCTTTAGCTGGAGAAATAATCAGCTTTGTCAGCTAGTTTGTATTGTGCCCATGTAAGGGGACACCAAAGTGGGTCTAAGTTTATGTGACAATGTGTTTGTTACAGCAAGATGCAAAGTTTCAGCACCTTGGGAAACAGAAATTTTCTGCCATGGAGTGATATCATGCCTTCATTTGTATATAAAACACCTTTTATGTGACTTAAAAAATGGAAAACTTAAAAAAGTGGTCAAATACTAAAAACCCTTGACAATGATGAAGTGAACAGGGCCATACACGTCACAATGCTTACATCCATCACTACTTCTAGCATCAAACATTTTTGTTACTGTTGGCACCTCAAAATCCATTCAGAATGATATTCATCTGCCTCAGCTTACACATGTAGAAGGCACAGCCAGAGCCTGAGCTAATTGCTTCATTATTGAATCATTCAGAGCACCTTGAGTGCCACCACACAGCACGTACAGGACAACTGGGTGATCAGGGCCAGTGAGCCCTCGGTTGCACAAAGCCCTACCTGCAGTGCTACTCAGAGGGAAGGACACACACACGTGTGCCTTCTGTGTGCATATGTCCCCGTGTGTATGTGTGTGTAAGGGATGGTGTTAAAACCTCACCAAAATGCTGTCACTGTGGTGGGATAATACTGTCTAACAGATGGGTTGCAGGTCTTCAAGATGTCCATGCTCCTTCCTCCACCGCTGTCTGTGATTTCTGTGAGTTGTCTAGACTAAGGCACATATCCTCTGAAGTTTTCTCTGATAAAATTGCTGATAACTTTTCTGTCTTACCTGGAAGATCCATTAGACAGTCTGCAAAGCACCTTGAAGATACCAGGTATCATCCAGATTGTGAAGTTTATTACGGATCCTTTAACATAACTTTTTTTCCTTTTTTTTTAATTACAAGAGGAAATATCAAATTAGCTTTCATGCTCTGATGTTTCGTCTTTCTTCCTAATTTTTAGGAGTTAAAACAAGATATTTCCAGCTTTCGTTTTGAAGTCTTGGGTTTGTTAAAAGGAAGCAAGCTCTCTAATTTGCAAACTGCAAAAATGAACAAAGATGCTGCCTCTCTGTCAGAAAATGAAGAAAATAGTGACAGTGAAGGAAACAAGAAAGGAAAGAAAAAGACCTTCAGCCTTTTTGATATAACAACAATGATTCATCCAAGATCAGCCACTATTGCCTCTGAAGCACATAATGTGAGCAACACAGAATCCACTAAGGAGAAACAAAAGCGTGTGAATTTTGTAACAGACATAAAAAATTTTGGGTTATTTCACAGACGATCAAAAACAAACTCTGTGGAGCAGAGTGCAAATAAAATATACACCGTTTCTGAAGAAGTTTCCCGTCAACAGGCAGAAGAACAATGTGAGAAAACTGCTGAACTGGAAGAGGGAGAACTGACCGTGAACTGTGAATTAAACACCCAAAGTCCTGATGAAAAATGCGTGTTAGCTGAGTCACAAATCAATGGTGACTCTTCGGGTTCACAGGAAGAGGGAAGTATCTGTGCTTCAGAAATGGAGAAAACGGAGTTACACAACTCAGATCTAGCCACACCGCAGGATCAGCTGGACAAGGAGTTGGACATTAGCATTGACTCTGCTGGGCAACAGGAAACAATTGATCAGGGTGATTATGTGATAACAAGGTTGTGATGCTTACAAGAGGAAGCATTTACAAATATATATATTTTGCATAGTGCTTTTGGGGGGGGGAGTGTTTTAAGAATTATATTAGCAAATGCAGAACTACACTTTATAGTACTCAACTGTGGCACATGATCTTGTAACATAGCAGTCAAGAGAAAGGTAATACGGGAACGTTCTGTTTTGTAGCCTGCTTTAGCTTTCATGATTTGTTTTACATTTTTTAATAAATGGAAGCATCTTGTATTCTTGTACTGTTGCAATAACCCACAGAAACTTTTTAGCTATCTTTTTCAATTATGACAAATGCAATTTCTCTCATATGATAGTTGACTCCTATGATAAATATTTTTCTATGCAAATAAAAAGTAGCTTAAGAGACTTGTAAGCCTTTATTTAACTTTGTAGGTTCTTAAAAGATTCTGGGCACCATAATAATCATAAGTGGTTTCTGTCAGCATAATTCATGTAAAGCTATTAGAATCATTTATTTAAATTGCTAGAAAAAAATTTGTTTCAAAAGCTATATAGAATCGGAAGATAACATATATTCTTTTATTTATTGAGGGAATATTAATACCTGTAAATCATGAAAGATTAGTCAGTTTGATTATTTAATTACAGCTTCTCCCTCCCAGCAAGAGGATTATCACTGTCCTGAGACCACTGTTAGAAATGCATTTGCAGGATTAGAAGACTGTAAAAAAATGTTTCTTATAGTACAAGAAATATCTGTGGCTTGCGAAAAACTGATGTCGGATTACCCCCTGGAAATCCGTAATCAAAACAGCTGCTGCTTCTTCAACCATTTGTTTTTCCAAACGTGGACAATCTATGCACTTTAATATTCATCTGCTTATTAGCTTTTGCCCTCACAGTACACTTGTATTTGCTAAAAGATACTTCAGGAATAAACAAACATACAATGATCCCCAGAGTACTTAGAAAAATATGGTAATTTGTTGAGAAGTTTTTAAAGGAAAGCCTTAAGAGTGTTTCTTTGACAATTTCAGAGCTTGGGGTAACCTGATTGGAAGTTTTATAAAAATTACTTAGACATTTAAATGTATAAAGAAAACCTAATAATATTTTTCATAACTGATGAGTGACTTAATGTCTTCGTCAAAATCAGTATTTTTAAAATTAAACAGTGTGTTTCTTTTTAATCAGTGACTGGTGTCCTACATTATTAAAAATTTAATTTTACAACTGACCTAAGAATGACCACCCTCAAACTCTCAGCACCATCTTTCTCCTCCCTTGGAAACATGTGAATATACCACATCTGTGTGGTCATTTCATTCTGAAGTTCCCTAGCCCTGCCATTATAGATTTTGTAGTTCATACCAGCCTGTATTAAGACACCTCCAGATGCATAGAGTACACATATTCTGGATGGAATCCATCACACCTGGATGGGATCCGACCTAAAGCCATACCATTCTGGATCTAAACTATCCTTGTACTGAAATGAGTTCTGAAAATCCAGACAAACCCTTCTAATCTCTGTACTTTTAGGTGAGTTTTCCAGCTCTGCTTTACACATGTGCTACACTCTGAGCTGTAGCAAGCTTCCTTGCTGCACTTCTATCTGTGCCATGGCACCTAAGAATGAATTAGTTGAACCAAAATGAAAAATATGCACAGTAATCAGAAAATAGTTTGTACAGCTTTGCAACAATGTGCTCAAAACCATTTCATTGGTAAGATACGGTTGATTTCCATCTTGGCCTCCTGAATTCTCTGTGGATCCCCTCTCCTTCACATCTCTCTTCTTGTCCACCTTTAGATTGTGAGCTCCTCGGGGCAGGGCCTGTAGCTTTTCTGTTTGGAAAGCACCTGAATTATTACAAGCATAACAAGAAATAAATAATAATAATAATGGTGAAATACCTTCATATCATTTTTACTAGGTCAACTCTTTTAGGGAGTTCTCTTTTCTACTGTAACATATGTACTAAGAATGACATAAAGACAATGTGTCACATGTCACAAAATTCACTTTATCCCAGTTAACAGCCCTTCACCACTGATTTCGCTTTCTCATTCTTCATCATGATGTGTAATACCTCAGAGTCCTAAGCCTACTGCCATTTCACTAGCCACCTTCAAAACAAACAGTCCTTACGCCTAAGACCTTTCAATACATTCCAGCCACGTGGTGTCATTCCAGACAGAATGTGCCTGAGAAGGGTATTTATAATGCCACCAGCACCGTTATCAGAACAAGTTAACTACCACAGGTCTAAGAGCTCTGGATGTTATTCTGCCATTGTAAGAGCCTGTTTCACCTCTGCATGAAGTTCCCAGTAGGGCAAAAACACAGGACAGTTAACCTGAAACATCAGCCATCACATCATGACCCCACTGTGCTGGGAGCCAGGCTAAGTCTTGGAGTAGGTGTAGGACAGCACAGCAAAAGCAGTGCAGGTGGGCAAGATAGTGAAGCACAAAGTCATGGCACCCTATTGCATAGCAATAGGTGGTCACTCTTTTGCTATCTTTTTTCTTTCTTTTACAACCAGATATTGAAAGGAAGGTCTAATAACTAAAGCATACATCAAATCAACATTTGTTCTGTGTTCATGTGATTTTTAGACATTGAAGCCTGACACCAACAGGGGCCTGTTCCTGTTCTATTTAAATATAATGGCAAATAAGCACATCATTATGTGAAAACAAATAAGGGTCTAAAATATGTCCAAATTTTAAATGGTGGAGGACTTGTATTGCTTTGCAGACAACCAAAACAACCCCTTCTCATTGGATGCTGCCAAGAAGACTTCTATGTCAAGATCTAGAGGTGCACAGAGCACGGTTTGTAACACTACAACAGAGGCATTTTTAAGCTTTGCAAAGCTGAGCATACTTTCTCCTAAAGAGAAATAAAAGGTTCCCTGCTCCCTGCCTGCAGCCTCCATTAGCATCAGTATAGGAGGAACACAAAAACCATGATACAGTCTTTCAAAGCCGAGCTTAAAATCAAGAAATGTTTCAAGGTGCTAGAAAATTGTCTAAATACAAATGGTTATAATCCCAATATTATGTTATTCAGAATGTCCAGAAAACATTTTTTAAACTTGTTCTTTTTTTTTTTGGTAGGGGCAAACCTGACTGCCATTTTTGTTTTCCATCAGCTCCTGCAGCAACAGAGAGAGTGCAGACAGCACAGAAGGAGTCTTCTACCCTGGCATAGCTGGGCAGCAGCCAGCTTGAATTCTTGCAACCCAGTCGTCCCAAGCATGGCATGTCTGAGCCAAAACAGACCTGGTAGTGCATATCTTAATCGAGTTTGGTCTGAAGTCCCCAGGCTACACATTGATTCACAGTCAGAGGTCAGTGATGCAAGGAATGCATGTTGTACCTTCAAAGCAAACTTGCAAAAGCTGCTTCTGAGTCCGCATGCTTTGCTGGCCCTCGAGGGCACGGCAGAGGTGAGCGCCATGCGTCAGAGTGTTCACACTGCGGGGCATGAGCCAGCTGCAGGCCACTGTGCTACCTGCATGTGGTACAGTATCACCAACGAGCCAACCAGGTAGATGCCTCTCAAGGGGCACGGCTCTGCAGCTGGTGTTAATCATATTTTCTTGGTCCACAGAGTGAGATCATGACATTTTGACTGGTGCAGGCCAAACACCTCACACATACTGTTTGTATGAGGCACTTGGCGCGCAGCACTTTTTTTTTTTTTTTTGATAGGTCAGCATTTAATGAGAAATTCTATTTTTCTGTGAATAAGTATTGTGTAGTTCCAAGAGAATGTAAATTTTCGTCATAGCTACAACTCTTAAGAGCTGTAAAAGGTGAGGAAATTTCTGGTATTTGGGCATCCAGTTGTCTTTAACAACACATGTGAAACAAGAATGTCTTCTTTACCAGCATCCTTGGACCAATCTTTCAGAGGAGAATTTTTGCATAGCTTCTTCACAGGAATAAAGCATAGACAAAAGACACAAAGAAATTTTTATATAACAGTCTCAAATTCTACTGTATTTTTATTCCAGGCTATAGCATTCCATTACCTCTCTAAGCCTCAGGTGAATATTTAATGAAATTCTGGAGAGTAGCATGAAAAAGAAAAGGTGAATACCTCTCTAAGGTGAATATTTAATGAGATTCTGGAGAGTAGCATGAAAAAGAAAAGAAGTGGATCATGCTTAAAGATGGTTATGAGGCAATAAACTTTTGAATAAGTTCAGAACATTTAGTATCAAGTCTTCTTCTGGGAATACAGAGGTACAATTTGGACAGCAACATAATCTATCTTCATTTTAAATTTTCTTAAGAGATACTAATTGCTTTAGTGAGTAGGGCAACCACACAAAAAGGCTAATACTGGTAATGGTAGTGGTAGTGATTGCAGTAGTAGTAGTAGTAGTAATAGTAGTAGAAAATGAAAGTGTAATAATAGCAGTCCTATGTATTTACCCCTGGGAAACGGAACTCTTCAGTTGTAATCCATGCTTTAAAGTTTTCCTGTTTTCTGTGTTGACAAATCATTCAGTAACACCAATAAACTGTCCTTGGGGACAGCTGTTCTCTAATCTCTAGCCTAAAAAACTTACGTCTCTGTGTTTCAGCTCTTTGCCTAGCTGAAGCTTTAGTTATGCTGCTTTCACTGCAGCAGAAGCATGTTATAGAGATCCTTTGAGACAATTTGTGATGAAGTAGTTGGACATAGTCCAAAATAAACTGATGAGGTTGGGTTTGAACCCTCCAGATATGAAAAGGAATTCAACTCACTGAACTACATCAAATCAAGTTCACCCACTACTGGTTTAGTACTGAAAAATTGCCTTATATGTATAATTGTAAAAGAATGGAACAGAGATGGCTCCTTGTCAACATTAAAACAACTCAAAAAAGGTTGAAGCCTTCAAATTTCATGAACATAGGACTGTAAGAGAACTCAGTCTTACTATATACTTCAATTTTAGCACAGGTCCCTCCATTATATAATTATCTTCCTAAATCAATCAAATATCCTTCTGTTTTTAAATATAGTTATGAAATGTTTATACACATGAATTGTTTTAACTGTTTATATTTGTACCCTTTGGGCACTCACTATCTTTTAGCTCTATAGCATTTCTCTGATTAATGTTCTACTGACAGTACTCTTCCCTATTCAGCTTTGTGTTTCTTTAGGCATAGTCCAAACCAGTTATGCTATTTTCATTTTAACTA